CGCGCTGGTCCCTCTCTCGGGCTCCCCTCCGCCTTGCTGCACGCCCGTTCTGTCTCCGCTTCGCTGCATGGCGGTATCATTAGCGCTTTAGCAAATGTTCACTTTTCTGTAGCTTTTCTGTCTACTGCCAAGCATGCTCCATATTGATAATATTGAAAAGCGCAACTGACGTTATGGATGTCAATAGTAATAGACTTCAAGCGTTAGCTACAGTGACAAGCGTTCGTTGTGTCATTGTCCTCCAAATGAATGAATGGAAAGACAATAAATACAAAATCTTAATTTATTTACCTTGTAAAAAGTGTTCACTGAAAATTCGGGAGTACTTGGATGGCTCCCAGTCTTTGCGGTTGATTGCCGGCAGCCATTGTCATCTTCTCTCTTCATCACGAGCAGGTATCAGGTAGAAGGAAACATTTGGCTTGTGTCGTTGCCTGTTCGTTCAAACCCACCGCACTGCACCATATGACCATTTTGGCTGTTATGCAGTCAGAAGGTCAAGTTTCTGACGTATCGCAGTTGAATGAACAGCAGTCCTGGCTTAAATAGCGATACTTCTGCGGTCAGTCATGGAGAATGGCCGTGGCCATGATGTCACATGCACAGGGTCAATATGTACCCTGCGCTCCTCTCCCCTTGTTGCTGGTTCATTGTATTGTCTTTGTTCTGTAGATTGCTTTGGAACATGTTTTTTCCCCTGGACTTGTTTTATATTTATTATTAAACCAATATTTTTTTGCATTCCTGCATTTTGGTTCCTCACTTATCTCACCTCATGACAGAATGAACCAGCCATGTTGTCATCGTGTGGAGTTTATTTGCATATTTGGTTCTATTTTGACATGAGTTCCTTATGGTTTCATTTCAGTTTTACTTCCTGTCCTTTCAGTTTCAGTTTCAGTTCAGTTTATTACAAATATACAGTAAAAAACATTTTAACATCCATTTATAGATGATAGTGCATATTCATAAACGGGACACCCTTGAAGCAACATTTAGCTTATATATGGGGCCCAAGACAATACACAATATTAAGAACACAAACATACATTAGTAACCTATACATATTACCCTAGATACCTATTCTATTACCTACTAACTAACCTTACCTGCTCTAATTAAAACTGCCTTACCTTACTTTTACTAGCTTAGAGTTTCATCAATTTACTTAAAAGGTACGAATTATTATTATTATTATTTTTATTTTTTTGCTTACACACATTACATATTACGATCAAACATAAATACATAAGTCTTGTTAGAGGTCATCAGCTAGGGTTTATTATACTTTTCTAGAAGCTCAATTTTTAGTTTATTTTTAAAAATAGCCAGAGATCTTACGGTTTTAATGTTAATGTTCAGCTCGTTCCAAACTTGTGGGCCTTTACACGCCACACTGAAGCTTGTACACTTGAGTGTTCTAATTTTTCCCTGTAAAAGGGTTTTATGTCTTGTATTGTAATCATGAGCAGGTGTAGAGATTGGGATGAGCTGAGCCAGTCTGTCCTTAGGTCTAAACACTACATTATACATTATACATGCATTTTGGAAGAGGCTGCACTCAGCAAGTTTCAGAAGCTTATATTTATAGAATAAGTGATCAGTGGGGCTGTTAAACTTGGCCCAAGAAATGGCTCGAATGGCTTTCTTTTGAAGAGCTTGTAATTTCAAAAGATAGCTGGGGAATGTGTTGCACCAGATCACGTTGCAGTAATTTAGATGGGGTTCAAAAAGGGATCGGTACAAAATCAAAAGGGCCTCAAGGGGAAGGAAATGTCTCAATTTATAAAATAAGCCGACATATTTGGATAATTTTTTAACAAGATGATCAATATGTTTTTTGAAATTCAGGTGTTCATCAATTTGAATTCCAAGAAATGTAATACAGTTTACTCTTTCAATATTTATACTGTTTATTGAGATATGTATATTTTCAAGATTTTTCCTGTTTCTATTCGAGCGAAATACAATAAATTTGTCCTGTACCCCTATTGATTATCTGCCCCGCCCTGATGTTTCACCTGTATCTGTTTGTGTCTATATGTACCCTGTGCTCCTCTCCCCCTGTTGCTGGTTCCTGTGTTCAGTTGTTCTTTGGTGTTTGTTTTTTCATCTGGACTTTTGTTTTATTTTTAATATTAAACCATTATTTTGGCTTCCTGCATTTTGGGTCCTCATTCATCTTACCTCGTGACAGAAACTTGTTTGTGCTGATGGTCTTTGGCTCTAGATCAGCTCCACTTGTCCACAGTATTTAAACTTGAAGAGGAGGAAAGGAAGGTTTGACGGTGATTCTGGACAGTTTTTCCCCTTTCATAAAGTCTGGTGTCGTACAGCAGCCACAGACACCATGATGACAAACACAAACATGTGAATATTACCGCTCTACATCAGTCGTCTGGTCTGTTCTGTCTTCTACACGTCTCCATAGACCTCACAGGGACAGAAGAGGAAAGGGAGCTCGTCCCTTCTGCGCTTTCGGTTGGTACGGGTCGTTATAGTTTGCTGCTATAAAGCTTCAAAACTGCAAATCAACATTTTTACCGTGGCCTCTATTTTTTGATCCAGGAAGAGATAGGAAAAGTTGTGCAAGATATTGAGGAAACAGAAAGACAAAGACAAAAATGTAATTTTGATATGTTTAAAAAGAAACATTAAAGCACTCCGGCCTTCCGCTTAAAATTTTGTATTTCGGCCCTCTGATGTTTTTGACTTTGACATCCCTGCTATAGACCAATGGCTCCTATGTCTTTATGATCATTTCCTGTGTTTGAATGGTCAGTTGTCGAGGAATCCACAACTTTGTAAAGTCTTCTGATACAACAGCTGCTGTGATTTAGTGCAATACACTATTACAATGAATTGAATATATACTAACTGAAAAAAAAATGCATATTTCTGCAATAAAAAGCTCAGACATGTGAGAAAAACAGGTACAAACTAGAAAGATTTGAATCCGTCCGTTGTATCTTGGGTCAAATGAGGTGTTTCATTTTGCAAGCGACACTAAAATGATCCCAGATCTGGATTAAAAGTGAGCATAGCAGAGAGCTTAAAGTCGCAACAGTTTATCCTTTAAAAGTAAATTAAACCAAGTGAGTTTTCCAAATAAAATCTCAACATCTGCTTGATATTAAAGCGGCTATGTGGAAGTTTCACCACTAATAAAACTATATAAAATTAAAAAATCTTCCACATATATATTGTACTCCAGCAATGCCCTGGTGCATAGAATGAGCCCTGGCATTTTCATCGCAAATGAAGCTGAACCCGCAAATTCAGACTGAAAGACCGGCCATGGCTCTCACCCGTCCAGGGCCCGCCAGGGCCTGCCAATCACACAGCTCTGCCAGCCTCTCGAGCCCCGTCAATCAAACAGCGCTGCCAGTCTCGAGCCTCTGCCAATCACACAGCTCTGCCAGCCTCTCGAGCCCCGTCAATCAAACAGCGCTGCCAGTCTCGAGCCTCTGCCAATCACACAGCTCGGCCAGCCCCTTGTCAACCCAGTGACAGAAGCGGGCACTTTAAAAGCAGCCACTCCCCGATAAACGGCTTTGTTTAAAGCTTTCCTGAAGCTTTAAACACCCACCACCTCCCCAGCTCCTGGTTCCTACTTGGGTTTGCGCTCTGGCTCCTGTCCTGGTTCCTCTCCTGGTTCCTGTCCTGGCTCCTGCGCTGGCTCCAGCTCTGCCTCCTTCTCTGGCTCCTGCTCCGCCTGCGCCCCATTCACACCATGCTTCTAGCCACCACCAGTGCTTGACCCCGGGGGGTCTGAGATCATCTACAACAGCATCTACGATCTCCCCTCTGCAAGTGTCACTGCCGGGGTCAATGTGCCAATCAAATAAATCTTTTTTATGCATTAATGTTTCTGTCTTGGTCTCCTCAGATTGAATTGCCTCTATATGTCTGTAAACTTGTCTTTATATGCTTGAAATTTGAGTGTTCGGGTCGAACACTCAGGGCCAGCGTAATGCGTAGTGAAGCTGCAGAGCGAGAGGTGGCTTTGGAAGGATGGAGACAGTGGAGAATAACAAGAGACCGGCTTCAGGCAGCACTGAAACTTCGGGGTCTGGGCTGGAGTTTATTCGAGTGCGACGAAAAGGGAGAAACTCGAGTCTGACGCTGTAGGCAACAAATGAGACATTCACCCTGAATTACTGTACATGTTTTTAGTGGTAGGGGAAACCGGAATACCCGGAGGAAACCTACACAGACACGGGGAGAACATGCAAACTCCACTCAGAAAGGCCCTGTTCCGAGAGGGATTCGAACCCAGAACCTTCTTGCTGAGAGACGAGAGTGCTATCCACTCAGCCACCGTGCTGCCCGGAGTTCATTGCATTGTCAGGAGCTTTGTGATCTGCGGCTGTACTCGTCTGTCTGTGGTACGCGCGTGTGTGTCTCTGTGCGCATATGTACATGTGTCTGTCTCTGTGTGTTTGTACATGCGTTTGTCTGTGTGCGTGTGTGTCTGCCTTTGTGTGTGTACATGTGTGTCTGTGTGCATGTATCTGCCTCTATGAGTGCGTGATGTGCAGCAGTTCTGTACCTAATCATAGCAAATCTTCATATGAAAGAGAATTAAAAACGTCTCATTTTAATAAATACTTTGTTTCACAAAGTCATATCTGTGTCAGATCTTATCTGTGGGTTAGTGAAATCAGACACATTGATAATGTGTCTGACGTGGAACACATTTCCTGCGTCATTTACATCTTGTCCCCCAGATTCAGGGGTTTCCCAATTCTTAGGGAGAATATCCTGTGAGTGCACTTTTCTGGTGAGGGCAATCACACCAGGTGGGTCCTCAGAATTGGGATGGGGCCTTAATATATCTGGGTGGTGGGGGGCTCAATGCCTGAGTCAGCAGCAGGGAGCCCTCCCCCCTGTGAAAGATAGAGCCCTCAGGCCGATCACCCCCAAAGGGCTTTTGTGTAACAAGCATTCAGGCAGAAGGTGCAGCCGACGTGCTTTTGCATAAACGACTCCAGGTTAAAATGAACCTCCTGGAAAAAGTCAGTTTTTAATGAGTCACGAGCTTGTCACTACTTATCTTGCTTTGAGCCCATTTTGGGTGATTAAAAGTGATTAACACGAATTGCCTTTAAACAAGGAGTGGGCTATTACTTCCTCTGAGGCCTCATTTTAATTATTATTTAATTATTATTATTATTATTAGTTTTACGATCTGGCACAGCTGAGCTCACTACAGTGGCTTTTCAAACCTTCTCGATAGAAGAGTAAACTCAGCTATGGATTTTCTCCTGCACACCTGTAACAAAAATGTTATCCTCTCAGGGAGTGGCTGAAGTAGCCTTTGGTACTCTACTCTTGATGTATCGTAAATGTGGTTTGTAGTTGAGCAACCATCCATCCATCCATCTTCTTCCCCTTAATCCAACAAAGATGAGTCCGCCTAGAGGAGGGAGGTGGACCGGCTGGTGTCCTGGTGCAGTGGTAACAAGCTGGAGCTGAACGCCCAGAAGACAGTGGAGATGATTGTGGACTTCAGGAAGAGCACAGACCTCCTGCCCCCGCCCTCCGTGATGGACTCCCTCATCCCTCCCATGTGGAGTCATTTCGTTTCCTGGGCACCACCATCACCCAGGACCTTAAGTGGGAGCCGACCATCGCATTTTTACCTTTAACCTCAGTGAGTTTGAAATAGTGCCAACATTTCCATCTAGAAAAGGCTGTTTTGCTGCTGAAGCCCTGTTCAGTCTCCATCTCTCTCTGTGCTGTAAGCACTAAACACCAACACGCTCCACTGTGAATGTGGAAACACCGGTGAAGCACTGACTTCAGCCCAATCAGATGAACATATATATCATATAAATCAAGTGGACAGTTTGTTTGGCTACAGCAGAATATGTTTCATGCCCGCATTGTTTGTTCATACAAAATGCAAAACTATGAGTTATGGGTCTTACCTTATAAATGACCTGCACAGTCCACTTCGGTTCAGACCAGTTCCGTGTTTAAGTCCAGATAATAGTTTGAGCGTAGATATGTAATCCTCCGTTTGGAAATGAGTCCAATGAGTTTTTAAAAGTAAAACAAAACGCGTGTGTCCTCCGTAAACTCCTCTGTTTTGCTAGCTGCAGCCGGGTGCATCCAATTTCTAAAATCAACCATCTTACGCTTCACCTCTCTTTCTTATCATTCCTATATGGTGCTTTCAGACCGCAAACGCTGAAACGCGGAAGCCCCGCTCACCAGACGCGCATTCTCTAGTTTTCAGACGCAGAGGACTTCACACCAGAACGTCCTGACGCGAGCCGGAAGTACCGGAAGTAGCCGGCCGGTGTAGCAGGCCGGTTTAACCCCCCGCCAGAATATACCCGGGGTTAAAGTAGCCTAGGCCAGAATACACCCCAGGGTATGAACTGGTCTAGGCTATTTTAACCCCCCTTAGGCCAGATTAACCCCCCCTTTCATTTTATATAATAACAATACAATGCCCATTTTTAAGGAATCCTTATAATGAATACAAGCGTATTTAAATATAAAACAATTTACAGAAAAACTGCACTCTGTGCGTTCATCACAGGTTTTTTATTCAAAAACAACAGTTGAGGCATCAGCAGTCACACCAAAGAAGCAAGATGTAACTCTTCCATGATCAAATGAGACGGCAGGAAACACATCGAGCCCAAGAAACTCTTCGACACCGACACCATTGATATGCACAGTGAAGCAGTGAAGCAGTGGCTGAGGAGTCCGAGACACTGACACGTTTGTCACGTGACCGGTTGTTTTGATACACGCTCCGATGCAGTGTTTTGAAGCAATTTACTTTATGTAACAGCAGTATGTGTTCACGGAGGTGACTTTATATAACATCAGTATGTGTTCACGGAGGTGACTTTATATAACATCAGTATGTGTTCACGGAGGTGCGCCATAAGTTAATTTAATTATTAAACGGTACTTCCGCATCGGCGAACACGCTCGAAGCAGTTGCATAAAGTCACAGGAGCATGAAAACTCATATGTTCACAAGAACTATGTCCCCGATTGTCAACCCTGGTTTAGACCTGGTTTAGTCCTGGTGTAGCTCCTGTTTTGCCTGTTTACAGTATTGTGGCATGTCGGTGTGCACCGCACTGAAAGATGATTGGCTTGGGGTTGTAGAGCCCATTAAAAGCAGGTGCGTGCTCGGCGCGTGCTCATGAGTCTTGGCCTGTGTGTGGTGGTCGCACGTTTGGTGACTGGCAGCTTGACTTGGTTGGAGCCCGCTGGAGCGCGTGGGAGAAACGCTTTGGCTTTTGTCGCGAGTTTGGGTGCTCCAAAATTGAGGTAGGTCGCTCATTGTCCAGCCTTTCATTCTTGGCTCTCAAAGCCAAAGCTGAGCATAAACCTGTTTGCCCCAGACCCTGAGCTGCAGCTGGGACAAGTCTGGTACCCATACCGGCTCTCCCCCTCCTCCCACTGGCTGTGAGTGCGTGCCTTTCACTGGCAGGTAAGCTCAAAAACTATAGTCTAGTTTATTAATTACAATGTTAAAATTTGTGCCTGTCCTTCAGGCTCTCTCCACGTGTGGTCCATACCCGGGCTGCCACTCTGAAAGGCAGCCGCTGTTCTGTCCACATCTGTCCCGCATTGGGAACACTGGAGCGCGCTCACGTGTGGCCTCCTGGCTCCGGACACGCGGCTGTAGCGTGCACTAGCGCTCGAGTGCTCCAGCTTAAAGGGCACGTCTTGTGGCACATGGACCTTCGTTAACAATTTTTCTTTTTGTTTATTTAGGTTTATTTTGAGTCGTGTGGTGAGTTTGTCTTGATTTTGTGTCCCTTATGTTTGCTTTTTTTTGCATGGCTTTTTCCTATTTTTGTTTGCTTATTTGCATGGCTTGCTGTTTTTCTTTTATCGCATGATTTGTTTCAGTTAATTACTAGTTTCTTTTTGTCCTTGGGTCCTGATTTGCCAACATTTTAAAAATACCTTTTAAACAATTTTTCTATTAAAGGCCTATTTGCTGCATTTAAATTATAATTGTAAAAATAAACTTGTGACCTGTTTTGTAAGTGCAGTCTCGCGTCTGCTATGTCCACAACTTGTATGCCTTAGTATAGGAACTATACTAAGGCACTATTAGTATAGTGCTATACTATACTAATACTAGACTATTTGGACACTAAAAATATGTACAATAGGTCTGGCATGCGCCTCCTGTTCGGCGACCCCGCTCCCATCTCTGTGTGGAGTGAGAGGGCAAGTGCCCAAAAAAATAATAACAATTGTAAACTGCTTTGTGACCCTTGTCTGTGAAAGGCGGTATATAAATAAACATTACTTACTTACTTACTTAGTATACATAATATTTGGTTGGTTTCTAGACCACCTGGCGTTGCTGGAGCTGTTAAATCTTCCCTGCTCTACACCCTCACGTCACAGTATGTTCAGTCTACTCGCTCAGACCCCTAGGGTGTATTCAGACCTGAAAAGTCCTTTGCTCCGCTTGCTTGATCCGAATCAAAAGCGGACCAAACTTTTTTCTTTTGCTCCGGTTCGTATTCAGACTGTCCTTTTTGCAAGTGAACTTTTTTCTATAAACATATTGACACGTGTGACGATCGGCGCTCCTATTGGACAGCGAGAGCTCACGGAGGATAGACGTGGAACCGGCAGAAAACATTGAGGGCTCAGATGTGCAGCATGTCTGCTCTGCCTATGTTTGCTCTTTTTAGAGCAAAACCACCTTCAACATCAACAGCAGCAGCTCATATGACACAGGCAAAACACGTTGTTTTAAATATATGAACAGCGTCAGAGAATTCGTGAGGAGAAAGCCGAAGTAGACTGTCTGTGCGCTCCGTGCCCTGTCCCACACATGGATCTATTATAATAACGGCCCTGGTCAGCACTGTGGATAAACCATGGATCTAAAATAACCACGGGACAAACAGACGCTGAGGATCAGGTATGAACCAAATAACACAATTCACTTCATGATGCGGGATATTGCTCTTTGAGACGTGAGTCAAACAGTGTCAGGCTTTTAATAATGCAAATGGTTTGAAGATGCTGCCATTAACATCACTGTATACTGTGAACAGTTTTAACTCCATAAGCCTGTTGCCAGGCAAACGGCCTGTTACACCGGCTCTAATGCTAACAGAGCTATGCTAGCGGCTTCTTGTGTACAGATCTTCTCCAATATGCAGCTTTGCAGCGTGTCTTTGCTCACAGACATTCCACGGGCTTCATATAACAGTAGTATGTGTTCATGGAGGTGCGCCATACGTTTTTTCATATTATTAAACGGAATTTCCGCATCGGCGAACACACTCGAAGCAGTTGCATAAGGTCACGGGAGCATGACAACGCATATTTTCACAAGCACAGAGTCCCCCATTGTCAACCCTGGTTTGAGTTCTGGTGAAGCCTGGTGTGGGTCCTGTTTTAGCTGTTTACGAGTATTTTCAGTCTGCTCGCTCAGTCCGCTAATGGCAAGGCAAGGCAAGGCAAGTTTATTTGTATAGCACAATTCATACACAAGGCAACTCAAAGTGCTGAACAAGATAGCATTAAAATCATAAATAATCACAGAACATTAAAACGAAAGATAAAAATATAAAATCCCTCAGTTGTATGCACAGCTAAACAGAACTGTTTTTAACCTGGTTTTAAACATTGTCAGAGAGGAGGCCTGTCTCACATCTTCAGGAAGATTGTTCCAGATTTTAGCAGCATGAATCTGAAAAGCAGCCTCCCCATGTTTAGTTCTGACTCTGGGCACTAACAGGAGTCCAGTCCCTGTGCTCCTCAGAGTCCGGGCCGGTTCATATGGGACTAACATGTCACTAATATATTTTGGTGCGAGGCCATGGAGAGACTTGTACACAAGCAGAGCTGTTTTAAAGTCTATTCTCTGAGCCACAGGAAGCCAGTGCAGAGACCTGAGGACTGGACTAATGTGGTCGTACTTCCTGGTTCTAGTCAGGACTCGAGCTGCTGCATTTTGAATGTACTGCAGCTGTTTTACAGCCTGTTTGGACAGACCTGTGAGCAGGCCATTGCAGTAGTCTAACCCAGTGGTTCCCAAAGTGGGGGTCGCGGGAACCCCTGGGGGGGTCGCAAGATGATTTCCACACGAACAAAAAAAAAAAAAATTTTATTTTGAGCAAATATAAAGCCCTTAACCCTTTAGGCGCCAGAGTTTTTTCAAGAAAATATACAATTTTGATTTCAAGATTTCAAAAGGCTATAACTTTAAAATGGTTTGAGATAAAGGCATACTGTAAATTAGAAATATCTTCAGTTTGAACCAAACTTTGGGATGGAAGTTGATTCGTCATCTAATTTGCATATTATGACGTCATCAAGGTGGCGGCCATTTTGGAAAATGTTAATTATTGTATAAAGACTTCAAAAAGCTGTAGCTTGGGAGTTATTTGAGATCAGGGAATACTATAAACAGTCAACTTGAAATATCTTTAGTATGAAATTAATTTGGGATAGAAATAAATTCCCTGATCCAGATTATAGATAATGTTTTAGCACTAGTTTGCGGCCATATGGAATTGTATTATTTTCAAAGACCTTCAGTGATCAAGACAGCACTCTTTATAGTTTACTGTCATGAAATCTGGAGATTGGTTTCAATATTCCCCTTTCAAAGAAGTGGTGGGCTTACTATTTTTCTCAGTGGAAATGAGGCTCCAGAATTTACCATTTAGAAACAGAGAGATTAAATGAATGGGCACAGAACATGTCAGATCGTCTCAACAACATACAACAGGCTCTTCAACATTTCTAATCCACTTTTGTGGATTATTTTCTCTCAAGAACTGCCTTCATCCTCATCATCACTGGTAAAGGCAGTGAACGCGATTAGCGATGTGTTTTTTTCCCGCGGCTCTCCCGCGACTTCTCCCGCGTCTCCCGTGTTCCCCGTGGATGTTTACCCCCGCTACTTTCTCCCACATGCCCGGTGTTATGATCCCCCTGTCCCCTCGACCCCAGCCCCTGCTTGGCGTTCACAGAATGCTTCTACCGCGGCCACACGGAAGACAAGCAGCCGCTGTACAGGGGCTGATTGTGGACTATGGAGCGCTGTCTCCCCGTCACCAATAATGTCCGTGTCTGCTTCACTGGACACCTGCGTGTCTTCCTCCTCTGAATCTGAGTGAGCCAGTACCAGACCAAGTACTTCTCTGGTACTGAAGACCTCGTGAGTAAAATAAAAAACCCTCTTTCCCTCTGCTCTGCTCTCGCTCCTCTCAGCTCTACCGCTGCTGCTTCGCCTACGCACCGCAGCGCCGCAGGTGTTTTACGAACTCAATTTACTCAAAAACTTTCAATATAACCACACCCACAAATGTTGCTCATATTACAGGCACACATGTCCACTAACCCCTAGTGAAAAGTATTAACAAGATTCTGCACCACATCTTTACATACAGCCTGTTTAAGTGAGCAATGTTGCTTGTCGCAATATTGCGACTTTGGCGCTTAAAGGGTTAAATATTTATTTAGCATTTGATTTGATTCAAAAGGACTACTTGTTAAATTGTGTTTGGAGACTATAATATATTTTAATAACGTTAGTAATTTTGTCCCAGTCATTGCAGCGTCAATCAAAATCATCACGTAACACAGCTCACATCATGCGCAGCGACAAAGCGTGTCCAGCTGTTGTTTGCTAAAACTAAAGGTGTTTGGAGGCTACAAATAAATAATACCTTCTTTAAAATGAAACGTGGTTAATATCCACAACAGAAAAACCCGGAGGGGGAGAAAAGTCACTTGTATCAGGGGTCAGGCTGATGGTGCGAAGAGAGGGAGAGAGGGCAGAGGAGGGAGGGAGGACAGCGGTAGAACAGCGCGTTAAAGAGGCCCGGCTTTTCGGAGTCAAAGGTAAAGAGGTCCGCACATTAAAAGCGGGTGGCCGGTTTATGCCTTTACTGACAGTAACTTTGGAAAGAGAAGCCGCGGGGATGAACCGCATAAAGTAACAGCAGAAAGCGGCTGCCCGCTTTTAATGTGCGGACCTCTTTACCGCTGACTCCGGAAAGCCGGCCCACTTTACCGCGGTAGGAGAACAGTGAGGGCGAGCCGCAAGAAATGCGCTCCACTTCTGCTGAGGAGGGAGCCCACCAAGCCCATCACTGTGTCACTACATGAGTAAAAATATGCAAGCCTCTTTTTTTGGGCTGGACAGTGCAGCTCGGTAGTGGCGTGAGTCTCTAGAAAGCGTTACTCCGTATCAAGGAAATACATGCTCATTTCATGTGACGGAAGGGATGTTGGGGGGGGGGGGGGGGTCGCGGGTTAACAGGACATTTGTGATGGGGGTCGCGAGCTAAAAACTTTGGGAACCCCTGGTCTAACCTACTGGAGACAAATGCATGGATAAGAATCTCCAAGTCTGCTTTAGACACTATGTTTTTGATCCTGGCAAGGTTTTTTAGATGGTAAAAAGCTGCTGATGTTACTGATTTGATGTGGCTATTAAAATTTAAGTCTGAGTCCAGTATTACCCCTGGATTTCTGACCTTGTTTGAAGGTTTTAGGGAGAGAGATTGTAGATGACAGATGACGCTCTCTCTTTGTTTCTGGGGACCAAAGACAATGATTTCAGTTTTGTCTGCGTTTAGCTGAAGGAAGTTGTTTTGCATCCACTCACTGATCTGTTGGATACAGTGAAGGAGTGAGTCCACTGGTCCATGTTCTCCTGCAGTCAGTGAGACATAGATCTGAGTGTCGTCTGCATAGTTATG